GTTCGAATGCCCGCGTCAACGGCCGAAACACTCCGAAGATATGAAAGCCCTATTTCATACCCCCCGATTCGACACGAAGGCTAAACGGTAGCGCCGATGCGATGCCCGTACAGCAGTATCGACATCCGAAGTGTCGCATCGACATCACAACGACGACGTCTTCCCCGAACAGTTCTAGCACACATAGTACTAGGAATTACCCAGTTAGAGGTCAGAGTAATTGGTATGATTGTCTGGAATATTAATTAAGGGAAAATTCAGACCTAGGAGAAGACATCAGCCTGTGAGAGACGTAACTATATCTCCTAGATGTAGCTCTTAATCGTTTTCGTCAATAGTCGTGATTTATAAATGGGAACCTAACGATAAAACAATTCATTCCGCTCACATTTAATGTCATATCATCGCCTTCCCAACAGTATACACTAATTAATCCAACTATGCTCTCCGGTAATGCGTTAATTACCTTAAATTAACGGAGTGAGTCATCAATACATTTAGTGTATTGGGATTTAATACCGTTAACACAAGAGGTTTGGTCTGGTGAGTTTATTAAACATAGTTACATAATATACGTACGTATATTATCCTGTCATCATAGTAGAATAAGAGCAAGAATGGTAACACTATACAAATGTCGCAGCGCGACTTGTATATATGTGTGCGCGCCCGCCGCGCGCCGGGTACGAACGCACACATTTACATAATCTAGTGATGCACTAGCATTGCATAACACTGGTCGTCCCAATGCGCTTCTCATTATTATGCGAATGTGTGCGTCCGTACACAGCCCGCGGCGGTTGCGCATACATACAGACCGCGCTGTTATTTTCTACGGAGTTGTACTTATTCTTATTCTACTATGCATTTACGGGTACATTACATTATTTATGGCATTAGTATTATTATTGTTGGTATTAGTTGTAAAGACAGAAAGCCGAACAGTGTTCGTGTAAGAGAGCGTTGTGGTATGAAAGATGTAGTGACCGGCATAAAGAAGGCGATGCTTCGATGGTTTGGTCATGTAGAAAGAATTAATGTTGGTAGATTCACGGCACAAATTTTTTGAGAGAGTGGATGGAGGCGCGGGGAGAGGTAGACCTCGGCGTACATATCTCGATAAGATTGGGGATGTCTTTAAAAAGGTCGGATTAAAAGTACCAAGAATAAACAGTCATGTATGAAGAGACTGATGGGAGTGGAGGAGGCGAAGGAGGTGTCAGGAGCGTAGCAGGTCTGTTTAGGCAGGGGAGTCAAGCATGATGATATGGATGTAATTATACTATACGTATATATGAATAAATGAGGTGACCTAAAGGTTTTGAGTGTATCTAGGGCACTTAAACGCGAGGTGAAATGTACATTTATAACCCTTCACCTCAAGCAAAGGTAACAATATTATACAGATTTGTAGAATTGTGACGTAGATTAGATACTATGGGTCTAAAAATTATAGGCGCCATTATTCTGTGACTTTGATATTGTTCGGCTTTGTGGTCATTCTCTTAGGTGTTTTTCGTCTTTTCTTAAAAAACACAAACTATTTCTAATGCTGCCTCTGTGGCAGAACGGTTACCAATGCTGGTCTACCACTCAGAGTTTCTGGGTTCGACTAGGCCGAGACAACATTTGGCATTTCCCTTGTTCCCTAGTGCGGGGCTTTGAGTGTGTGCGTTATTTATTTATTTTACATGCATTTGTATTACACACATGATCTAGGTAGATTTATTATGATATCAAGAGACGGGACGAGCTAGTCATGCGCCAGTTTCCTTGAGTCATAAAGTAGACAAATCCCATAATATGACTGTAGTTTCACCAGTATCCTTACCCTTCACAACCGAAACGTAGTAATGCTTATATTACTGCTTGAAAGCAGAAATATGTATAGTGGCAGTACCTTCTTGGACGAATTCTTTCAAAAGCAGCTCTACTGCTACTAAATGCTATTTTCTTTTCAGCTTTGTTAATACACTACTAGGTCTTTAATCTGTTAGAAAATGATGATGTTAGTTTTTGTTCCCACTATTTAATTCAAAGTATAATCTAACACGGAAATAGCCTTTGGAAATATGTAAATTGAAGAACGCCAAGGGATAGATATTACAGTAATATTAAGAATCCTTCATTCACACCGTTTTGCAGAAGCTAAATCTCACTTATATTTAACCAATCAAGAGGCAATAGAGCGTTTGAGTAGCGTCATATTTGATATTTTAAATTGTTTTTAAATAGTTCCTTTTTTTCGAAATATTTATACCTTTGTTACCTGTTATGTAACATTTTGAGATAGGTAATAAATGAATGTAAATTTAAAAATTTTCACAAATATAGTGACATTATGCTGTTCAACAACACGGTGACACGTTTATAGAGACTCTTTTGATTAACAGAATTACGATGTGCTTTTTTTGAAATTCTGCGTACAGAACTACAATGAAATATTTCAATTCAGTAGCGAGTACCATAGACAATAGAATTTCGCTTCAGAAGTAAAAAGAATGCCTTTGTGATATGCTTTATGAAATTATAATTGACAGATTAAGGCTCAACTCACACTGGCGCTTGACCCTCGCATTAGTGCGCCCGGATCACAGTGTGGTCGGCGTCTTACGCCTCATTGCGCTCAAGTAACGCGCGGCGACACGCGTCGACGCGCGACTCCATATTTGAATAACACAAATTTGTACCTTAATAATAGGAGAATAGAGATGAATATGCTACAGACGAAAAACATGACGCGTCGGGATGCTTCGACTTTGCACCAGTACAAGTTGAGTCTAAAGTACAGGAGTAAAAAAGTGATTATTTGAAACTTATAGATAGTGACAAACAGTGAATAATCACAATATTTTTTTTACATTACCTATTTTTGTCACAAGTAAATATTTACATTAATTTCCCTTTAGGTATCGATCGTTAAAAGATTTGTAAATTTCAATAATAATACGCAATTACACGCCCATATTAAATATTAATACTAATTTTAAATAATTTCTGAGTATGGTTATATACATATATAATCCCATTATCGCAGCTTTCTTCACATGTATTGACACAAAGTCTTTAAAGCTATAAAATTTTACGGTGTGATGGAAGGTTTTATAACACCAGTTAGTAAACTAGGACATCTCGGTAAAGGAATTAACGTGGCGTAGTCCGGTGAACGGAACTTGCAACGTAATTAGCCAAGCCTAGGGTTCTGCTTGACAGATATAATATAATTAATTCATTACTGGAACGTTTATCAGTCTGAAAACTGCGGAGATATTTTCAAAGGAACAGAAAATGTATCGAGATTGGAAGCCAATAAAAATCGACAGCATAATTAAGAACGTAAGCCGTTAAAGGAACTCCCATAGTGTGTTTCTGTAAAGTTTTCTTTAAAATTAACATCAAAACAGTACATGTAGCGAAAATTACCAAGTACACAAGTACACAAATGTTTAAAAGTTTCTCGCGATGTTGACGCCATTTCGGCGGACATATTTGGGACAAAGTTTCTGTTTTATTCTCGCGGACTTCGCTCTTAAAGTAACCCCGCATAAAATAAACAAAAGGACTTGAATCTGTGCTTCTGAAAGGCCAAGTTGCCACTTTAAAGACATCTTGTTTGGAAATAAGTCGTTAACGATGGCTATTGATTGGTCAGATTTAAGTTGTTGTTGTTGTAGCTGCATCGTCTTGCTAAATTATGGTCGCAGAATTTACATGATCTATAGGAATGATATCAAAAAGAGCCATAACATTTCTGTGAGAAGGGACACCCTTTTTAGTCTTGATAAATTACGCGTACTATTTTATCACGTCCCTATGATACTAAACTTGATTACATTTTTCAATTCAAATTTAAGCTGTACCAGTATTACAATTATTATATTATTACCATTTTATTTCTCACTCCCGTGTCAAACTTCAAATAGTAAATTCCATAATAAGTCTGGTTTTACACAGGTTAGTTGCACATCAATTTAGTGCCTATTTATTATATATATATTCCATTAGGTAAAGCTATTACTAACGAAGATAATGCGTAAAACAATCGACCGTGTAGATTAATTACAGACTAAATTTCTGGACTGTTTACTGGTTTAAGTAATCGTTGTAATTGAGTCGATTTCATCATTATGTTTGTGAATAAATTGTTTTATTCTACTATTAAAGAGCATTAAAAACTTACTTGTACTTTTATAGAATACAGATGTAGCGCTCTTATTGTATTTAAAATTTAATCATTTTTAACCTTTAATCTTTTTACCTATATAATGTTTGTGTTTTCAAATAATCCAACGTTTCGGTTTTTCAAACAACCCAACCATTCGTTTTTTCAAACCACCCAACGTTTCGTTTTTTCAAACAAACTAACGTTTTGGGCCCTTTATTGGTTCCATGGTCACGGTTGGCACTTTTGATTTGCTTGAAAAAACAAATATACCAGATTTAGATCCAAAAACGTAGTTTCATTTCCAATGTTGTAACAATCACGAAACTTAAGAACTCGATAATTATCACAACTGTTGCCTAATAAATTATTCTTTATAATAGAGACATTGGCGATATAGGAATAAATGAGACGTATTATGCATCTACAGTGTCTACAGATATATACGGTTATGTCACTCTATTTGGGACTGAAATGCTCTTATCGAAATGCACTGGCCTCTTCGCTGACTGTGCGCTCCTAGTTACTTTGGATGAATATTGCAGCACTATTTTTGAATTATTATTTTTTTATTTAAATAAATAAAAAGGTTTTCTATGCGCCCGTAGTCTACAGTAAACCAAGGGGGAGAGTAAAATTACGAACTCCATTATTACTTCATCACTATTACGAAATGCCCCCGGAAAACCATAGAAAGATTCCCCCTGTGCCGCTCATGTCTATCGTGGACTTCTACACATAAGGTTACGCGAGGTGATCTTCCCTTTTTGTTGTTTCTGAAAAATATGTAATTCCACATTGTGAGATATAATTAACGTTTGGTAATTTTGGCTTACAGTTGTCTACGACGGGCGGACATCATCAAGGTGTTCGATGGGAGAGACACCGATGCACCCACGATTGCCATGCTATGTAATGAGCTTACAGGTAAAATAACGTTCTTGTTCATTAAAATGCCACCTGTCATATGTTCCATTATCATAATATAGTACTGAAAATATTTGCTTCTGTTTCAACTAAACCTTTGCAATGCGGAGGAAATGAATATATTTTTCCGGATTTACTTAAATCGCGTATTATGTTTTTTTAAACAAGTCGACGTTTCGGGCCCTTCACAGGTCCTATGGTCACCGTAGACTGAGGTGGTACAGTCATCAACCAATTATGTCTAATATTAATGCAAACCACCCTATTTTTTCACTATAGTTACAAAATTAATTAATTAATAATAATTAGTTTTAATTTTACAAAGAACATTCCAATTTACACTACATTATGTTTTACAAATTATTTTATTTTAAAATATTAATTTTTATTAACTTAAAGTTAAGTTAAGTTAGTTAAGTTTTATTAAGTTATGCAATGTATTTGATAACTTGCAAAACTTGAAAGTCACATCGTTGTTTAATATTAGATGAAATTGTGACCAAGTGTGTGTCTAAAACATTTTTTATAAGGTTCGTAAGTTTTTCATAAGGTTTTCCAAAATAACAGCAGTAGAGTACCATTTGTCTAACCATAAAAGTTGTAATGTTTTTAAAATTTATTTTGCACCGTTTCATGCAGTGTTTAAACTCGTGATCGATTGTGAAGCAGTTGTTACCAAGAAATCATTAGGCAAACAGGTCAAAGCTAATCGTAGTATAAAATCGATCACATTCTAGGAAAATGACAAACAAATTATCTAAGGCAAATGCAAATGGTAGTAAAACTTAAAAAATCCGTTCATTTTTTTTTTGCTAATATCATTGTTATAAGTTTTTGAGCTGCATACTGTTATGTGCAATATCCTATATACAGCCGATGCCCTACCTACCATTCGGTTCTGATTAGATAAGTGTGATGAAAAGTATTAAACAAACTTAAATTATAACCTGTGAGCTGTAAAATACATTTCAGTATAACTACCTTATTGCATCATTATTGAATGGCGTTATAAGAAACCGTTTAAGCCAATTTGATCTTTAACGTATACTTACTTAAATACAGAATACAAATTTCAACCATGAAGCTGGCTAGAATTCCTGTAACCCTTCTCTGTTGATTGTTGTTTTTTCTGTTTTCTTTTCTTTTAATTACAAGGTCGGTATCACAAGTATCTTAGTGCATCGACTCTACAATATATACAATGCATAATAAAATTGTTAGGCGTGCTACTGTTAACAAATCTATGTATAACAAACTAGTTTAAAGCTATCTCGTTTCAAGAGACATTTTCATTCCAAATCCGTTAGTCGATTGTACAGAGTTCTAACTTAGATTTAAATGGATATCGAAATATGTGTTAGCATACACGAATAACATGAGCTTCAAATATAATGAATGTAATATAATTAGTAATGTGATGTAATTCTATGTGTTAGTATAATTATGGACTTTGTTGTCTGATATTGAATAAATGAATTTGAATTTGAATTTATTATTGTAATACGTGATTTGAATTAATGTAATAAGAGTACAATTCCATTAATCGGATATATAACATTTAATTGTACACACACATAACAGAATTTAAATTAACATTATCTAACATCTGGTTTATTTGACTGTACCTAATTCAGTACACAATTAATTCTCTGGCTTCGCTATAGCATATGTAAATACTATAAGTATATTAAAATGATGTTTACATATAGCAGAGTACAGAAATTAACCGTTATGAGACCTCGCGACAAAATAATTCGCTTCCACTTTTATATGGCGAACGGCTAATTCCTTGTAGTGGAGTTCCCTGCCTGCAGACTCATTCCCCGAACGCTGTAATTTGGAGCTTTTCAAGGCGAGAGTGTATTATTTAGGTGTGCATGCTCCATCGTCGACCTCATTGTCACTTACCATCTGGTGAGATGGAGGTCAAATGCGCACATATTTTATTATAAAAAATTCATTAAAATTATATTGGAAATGGAACTATTTTTTCGAACCAAATCGCATATATTTGTTTTTTCAAACACTTGACTAAGTGAACCGTGACCTTCGGACCTAGAAAAGGTCCAAAACGTATCTAAATATTTTCTTTTTTCGAATCTAAATATATATATTTAGATCCGAAAAAATAGTTTCATTCCCAATTTGTAACAATCGCGAAAACCTAAGAACTCAAGATAAAGCTTTTAAAGCACTAATAAAAAGAAAGTATGCACAAACAGGATACCTAAAATACAAATTTGTTGTTTGTTTAATTTATTGTTTACTGTAATATTATCTACACTTATGTATGGTAGTGAATGTTGAGTTTGGCAGAAAAAGCACGAAAGTAGAATTAATGCAGTAGAAATGAGAGCTTTGAGAAATATGGCTGGAGTGACTCTGATGGATAAATTACGGAACAGTGTGATAAGAGAGCGTTGCGGCGTGGAAAAAGATGCAGTGACAAAAATAGAGAAAGGGATGCTTAGATGGTTCGGACATGTAGAGAGAATGAATGAAGGAAGACTGACGAAACAGATTTATAAGGCGAGTGTGAGCCGACAAGTTGGTATGGGCCGACCAAAGCGAACTTACTATGACCAAATTGAGGCTGTCCTAAAGAAGGGCCAGGTCAAGAGTACCCCTAACCAACGAGCGTGTATGAAAGCACTGAAGCGTGTTGTTGAGGCCAAAGATGTGTGTCAGGACCGCAGCAAATGGAAGACTGTTGTCTCCGCCTACCCCGATGGTAAAAAGGCGTGAAGTATGTGTATTTAATATTATCGTAGCTTCCTTGACATTTGTTTTACTTGTGATTAAGTTACAATGAAATATATTTATCGTTGTCTTTATACATTTACATATAACTAGTAAAAGCTGATAAATATCAAAACATATAATTATCGTGCAAGCATAGTTTGGTCATTACCTTAAAAAGAAGGACGCGAATATAACATGTGTTATATTTTCGCCAGAACATCACTAAAAAATATAATGAGTTTTGACAACAAAAGTTACCGCCTACCAATATTTCCACTAATATGATTTCCGTGTTCAAAGAACAATGAATACGTACTCGTATGAAGCAAAATCAATTTTTACCTACACTAAATCTGTTGACAATCGTGTTTCAGTAACTAAGCAGATGACCTTTTCAAAAGTTTATTCTCGTTTGCTCCATTTTTTGTCCACATTCCTAAGTTTTGTTGATGAAACTTCATTTTGTATTGAAAGAAAAGCAGTAGAGAAAAAAAATACTGAAACATTCGACTTTACTCTCTTTGCCCACTCTATCTTGACACTCCAAAACAACGTTCTAACAGGAAACAAGAAACTTGTAACACATACACTTCATGTCCTTTCCCCATTGAGTTACGCAGAGACCACGGCCCTTCACTTACTGTGATTCTGACACACATCTTTTGCTTGATTAACACGCATCACCACTTTCACAGAAAAGCAGGAATTAAAAAAAAGTTTGAGTGAGTATGCCAATTCTTATTATACTTACTTTGTCAAGCAAAAAAAAGTATATGAGTTACTGAGTTCTTAGGTTTTCGCAATTATTTTATTACACACACTACGCTATTTAGATTCGAAAAAATTGTGTCCTTTCCTAAAAAAACCTTAAACAGTTTAAATAGGAATACTTGTCGCGATGTATGTAAAAATAATGGAATAGTATCGTAGTGCCATCAATATCTGTCGAGTATATTCCATTCGTATCGAGTTCGTCACTACGAGGCCGGTACCCTTTTTGAATGAATAATGCTCAATTCAAAGCCGACTTTTCGTGACTGTGAGTTGCTTAGGTTCGATATAAAAGATTTTTATGTGCCACGCCGGCTTTTTGTGAATAAGGTAGTTTCTTATATAAAGAATTGGCTGTGAAATATCAAGTTTTGTAACAATGAAATGGTTTTCCACATTAGCATCTTGAAACGTTCAACTCCTAATATATCGAACTACTTAGGCACTGGTCCTATAGGGTTTTCAGGTATAACTTATGTAGGAATACCTTTTTAAAGCATCACCCAGTCATCTGGATATATCTTATTATAATAGTAGCAGAACTTCTTGTGAAAGAAAGTTGAGGTTCAAAAAAATCCATTCAGGGAGGTAGGTACTGCCACCTTACCTATTTCTGCCACCAAGCAGTGATGTCAGGATTGCTGCGTTTCCGTTTGGAAGGGTAAGATGCTGGTGAAATTACAGGTACATGGGACTTGTCAACTCGTGTCTCAGGGTGATGGGCGCAGTGGCAGTCAGATCTTTGCGATTCAAAGCTCTGAGTGGCACAGCAACTGTTATGGATAGGCGTGTAGCTTGCCATCAGGCGCACTACTTGTTCGTCCCGTTAATTGATTTTATTTTAAAAAATCTGTCAGTCGTATTTTACTGTTCATCGAGGCGTGCTGGTCCCAACACTAATATATCCTTTCGAGTGTTGGGTGAGGCAGAAAAAGCAATGAAAGTAAGAATAATGCAGTACAAATTAGAGCTTTGTCCATGTCCATATTAGTCTTGAATACAGAATGTCGAATATTGTAGTAAAAGGGCGTAAGGGTGCAGGTGAAAGCACAGGCATTGTCAATTTATGTCTCAGGGTGATAGGCGCAATGACAGTGCCTCTCAGACCTTTGCTATTTAAAGCTCTGAGTGGCACTGCAACTGTTATGGACAGATGTGTCGCTTACCATCAGGCGTACGACTTGAACGCTATAATTTGGGCCTTTTCAAGGCGAGAATAAATAGGCGTTATTTAGGAGTACATGCACCAGTGTCGACCTCATCGTCACTTTCCGTCACGTGAGATGGGTGTCAAACGTGTACTTTTTTTTAATAAAAAAAATCGGCTTTATAGAGTGTCGTCTCTGTCACGCATAGCAATGATGAGCGCCTTACCAACATACGCACAGCGTCGACACGACGTCCGGGCGGCGGCGGCACAACGCCAGTTAGCGACTGCTTGGGGGCCCACTCCCGTTCTTTTCATTTAGTAGAGTATGTATTACTTGACAGTAATTGTTTCGGGCGAGTGTCGAACAGAGAATGGGGGTAAACCCTCTAAATAGTGCCGAATATCGGGTATGCCTAATGCCGCGTTGGCGTGGCTTCGCCACTGCGCGAACGGCGTGTCCACGTTGTGCGTGTGTTTGTAGGACGCTAATGTGAGGGATCTCCCACCGATAGTCTCCCAGGATAGTCTTTTTCTAAGGTTCGATGTAGTAATATTTATGGCCTGGTATTGTACGCCAAAAGGATTATCGAGTTCTTAGGTATTCGCGATTGCTATGGTAGAGCCCGCTTAGCTCTTGCAGGTCGTCTTGATCTATATTTGAAAGGGCGTTGTGGCACGAAAGATGACGTAGTAACCAGGATAGCGGGCTTTGATGATTTGGTTGTGCAGAAAGAACGAATGTTGGTAGATTGACGGCACACATCAATATAGCGAATGTGGATAGAGGAGCGGGGAAAGATAGACCTCCACGTAAGGCACATATATCTCGATCAGACTGAAGATGTTCTTAAAAGAGGCCGGTATCAAATTTATATAGATTAGGTATTAAAAATAAACGGGCATGTATAAAGAGACTGAAGGGGGTGGACGAGATTTGTCAAGAGCGTAGCAGGTGGAACTCCATGGTCTACCTACCCTGGTGGAAGACAAGCGTGATGATATATACGTATCGGGTTCTTAGGTTTTCGATATAGTTACACATAGGTAATGAAACTAATTTTCGGAGCTAAATCGAATATATGTTTTTTAAACAAACCAACGTTTCGGGCCCTTTTTAGGTCCTATGGTCACAGTTGACTCATATGGCTGATATGTATGTATTTATTCACACCTAAAAACATACATATATATAACGATCTCAAGTAAAAGAGTCTCCATTTGGAGCTCCTCACTGCAAATGTATGTGGTGTAATGAATGTCAATCGTTAGGTATACGTTTCATAGCTGGTGAATGATCTTCTCAATAGAGTGAGAGCTTAGTGTAAAACCATAGTTCACAACACAAGCTAACGGGCTATGGACTATGCATGATGGCCAAGAGCTTTATTTATGGATCTTTTCTGTACAACTTCAGATTTCTTTGCGTCGTTTTTCTTCGTCGTTAACACACGTGAGGCCTAATAATCTACCAAAGCCAGTGGAGAAGGCCTGTCTTTCAACATTCTTTAGTATTTAGTTATTCTAATATATCATTTGTTTTTTAATACCAAGTGACGGGATGAACAAGTCGTACGCCCGGTGGTACACTCTTGTCCATTTTGCAGCAGTTGTTTATTACTTGAAATAGCAAAGATCTATGGGGCACTGCCACTGCGCCCGTCACCCTGAGGCATAAGTTGACAAAACCCATGTGCCTGTAATTTCACCAGCACCCTTTCCCTTCAAAACCGGTGCGCAGTAAAGCCCATATTACTGTAAAGGTACGGGTACGGTAATGGTACTTCCCTGGACAAACTCATTCGGAACGTGCTCTATTACTACTACAATATCTAAAATATCTTTGTCGCTTCATCGAAATACAGACCTACTCTGATTCACTTTGGTAGATAAGGACCGCGGACCCTAAAGCAAACGATACATAATCTACTAATCAAAATAATGATTTTATTCTTTTGCAAAGTGTCAAGTAGGTAATTATATCCCTATTTTTTGTAAATTGTACCCTTCATTTAACGTTAGTCATTATGATAACCGTGATAAGCCGTGGTAGCCTATTGGTTTGACCTACTGCCTCTCAAGCAGAGAGTCGTCGGTTCGAATCCGGGCTCGCACCTCTGAGTTTCCCGGAATGTATGTGCGAAATTTAATCTGAAATTTATCATGAGCTTTTCGGTGAAGAAAAACATCGTGATAAAACCTGCACGTTGAAGAAGGTTCACAACCCTCGGAAAACGTGTGAAGTCCCCAACCCGCATTGGGCCAGCGTGGCGTACTATGGCCTAAACCCTCGTCTGAAAGGAGACCCGTGCCCAACAGTGGGACAAATAAATAAATGGGTTGACGATGATGATGATGATGATTATGATATCATTTTGCCTCAACTTACTTTGAAAGAAATTGCTATTTTTTGTATCTAAATTGTTTTCTTCGTGAATTGCATTTCCAATTATTGCAACCACTATATCGACAATGACAACGAAAAACTCAACTTTCATGAAATGGCTATACAAGTTATCGACTAGACTCAAACCAGTGACTGTGGCCTCAGTGGCTACTGCTCTGCCAACTAGTCTACGAAACGAGCCAGCTACATTACGAATTTGTCTAAGTGCTTGTTGCGAAACTTTGTATTAGCCTTTAAAATATATAGACATACCATGTTTTTTTTTTAATGTACCAAGTGACGGGACGAACAAGTCGTTCGCCTTTGGTAAGCGACACACCTGTCCATAGCAGTGCAACTCAGAGCTTTAAATCGCAAAGATCTCAGAGGCATTGCCACTGCGTCCGTCACCCTGAGACATAAGGTGACAGCCCATGTGCCCGTAATTTTACCAGCACCTTACTCTTCCAACCGGAACGCAGTAATGCTCACATTCGTGCTTGGCGGTGGCAGTACTTCTCTGGACGAACTTTTTCACAAGTGACTCTACTGCTACTAAATATTGTAATAAAAACATTGTGATATTCAATACAAATTAAATATTATTTTCGAACGTTGATTGTTATAAATAACGTAATGTGTATTTTTATAGAACAAAGTAAACATACTTTGTATGTCGTACTGTTAATACAACAGTGTATTAACTCAAAAAGAGGACTTTTTCAGAATCGATGAAAAACGAATTACTTCCCGCAAAAAATCATTAAAATTTGTGTATATGTTATAGTTTATTATAGACATTTAAACAATGACCCAAATATATTTAAAAATAAAATGGAAACAATAATTTCATTTTTTTAGTAAGGATTATTTTGGCCAGAACTAGCTCACATTACATTATTTTTGCGTCTCATTTTGAGTTAAGTAGACATCTTTTGATTGTTTCTTACAATATTCTAACGCCGGTTATTTTGACGTGTATAGAGAACCAAAGTTTACGTTCAGTAATTATATAATATAAAATTTCATATATTTTGAGTTACGACACTATTGTAATAAGAGTGCGATATGTACACGGAAAGAAAACAAAAATATACTTAAGAACCGTATTTGCTGTATAAAAAGTAGCTTCCGTTTACACGTTTAATATCAAAGAATTTATTCCACCGCCGTATGCGAAACATTCCGTAATGCCGTCGACAGGTTCTCCCGAAATTCCTCGTGTTATTAGCCGAAAAGGTGTCAATGTTATACAGGAAATCAGCTTGGTGAAATAGATTAATCTTTTTTGTTCGTACGGGTTTCGTTCTCATTTCGTGGGGTTTATTTTTTGTTACTGTTTATGTATTGTACCAATATGTGTGTGCGGAAAAAAGGATGAGGTACGCCGTACCATGTAATTCATTTTTTTTAAACGCACATACACATAGCCCCGCACTAGGGAAACCCTGTGTCGCGGGTGCCATGGACACACTCAAAGACAGTCACAAATTACTCCCAAACTCACGGGAGAAACAAATGTGGGCAATGTGGGGAATCGAACCCGGACCTCCGCGTGGCAGCCCAGCACGGTAACCGTTCGGCCACAGACGCAGTTAACGAGGAATGAAAATAAGTAATCTATTCTTGACAGAAGTCTTCACAAAGTCACAAATTCACTTAATAAGTAATGTATGTATACGCTTCTGTAATAAGATTCAGATATACGTTTAAAATATAATGAAACGTAAGTAATTATATGATGCAGCTTCTGCGTGCTTGAATGACAAAAATACATGATAATGACCCGTTCAGTTCTTGCCCGTCGTTTTGATCTAATGATATTTAAAATACATATTGTAAATGATAAAAGTGTACAAATGTTTATTTACAAACAGCAACCCCCTAGAGTTTCTAACTCATTCTTCTCAAGAGACGAGAAGAACCATTACCTATTACTGCCGCCAAGATTTTGGGTTTCGAAGGGTATGGGTGCTAGTGAAATTACAAGCACATGAGACTTGTTAACTTTGTCTCAGGGTCACGGGCGCAGTGGCAGTGCCCCTCAGATCATTGTGATGTAAAGCTCGTGAGTGGCACTGCAACTGTTATGGACAGGCGTGTCGCGTACCACCAGGCGCACGACTTGTTCGGCCCGTCACTTCTTATCATAAACAAAACTTACAATGGTGAAAAGATACAATTATTACCGGTGACAAAGAAACCTTGAAGGACCAGTCTTGCAATTCCTTTCTCTTTCAGGTTACGAGGTGCTGTCAACAGGACCAGCATTGCTGCTGCAGTTCACAGCTAATTCCGCATCTCCGGGACAGGGCTTCGCTGCCACGTTCCATTTTCAACCTCCTCCAGATTCAACAGCTGCAGGTATATAGGCTTGAGTCGATTACTTAGGTACACGGCGAAGAGCAAGTTAAGCCTGACACTTAAGATTTAAGTTCAACTTTATATCGCTTATAATAAGAACTGCCCAAAGTGACAATCATCATGTGCGCTTAGAATAATAACGCTTGTTCTCTTGTTTGTGCCTAGAAAAACGTCTACGTAATGCCTACGTCGTGAAAATAATAGATGAAGGAATAAAATACAATTGAGCAAAAAAATAATTAGACAAAATAGTTCTACTTACAGGTTTAAGGGCGAGCAAGAAATTATGTTTAAAATTGGAGTTACTGGAAATAAAACGGCCAATTTCCTGTTACAATAAATACTGCCTTGTTTCTATTTGGGCACGAGGACGATCGAATAAGAATTAACCTTTATAGGGCCTTCACATTAGACACTGTTGTAGAAGCGCTGTGACACCGTCTCTCGTCGCGTCTGTAGCGCTTCAGAAATTTTTAGTTCACTACAGTACTGGCACGATATGATGGTCGTTTTGACTGATTACAATAGTGAGGTCAAATCTCAATTCATTATCGAAAAAAATATAATCAGTTTTTAGATTTATAACTAGTATTGCACAGGTTAGCTGATTAAAAAGTTTTAATAAAACGAAAATAATAATGTTAACTTAATATATCGTCAATTCGAAATGCTTTGTTTTGCATTGAGCTTTGACGCGAGTTTGCCGGAGGTAGAAGTTGTGCTGGCCAACGATCCCTATAAGACGATCGTATTAGATTTCATTTTTTTAAATTTCGAAATTCGAACAACAAATGCCGTCGGAAAAATACATTCCGTAAATTTTACTGCACGTTACTATTGCCAACTATATACAGCAATTAGCTCCTTCAAGGTAGATAAGAATTAATACGAAACTTGATGAGCGGACAAACGTCAAAACGGCCATCATAGCGTGCCGGTACTATAACAGTGAAATAAAAAGTGGCGCACGCGGGTCACGACAGTGGCGCTGCAACTACGCGTCTAAATATTTGTAAGATATACAGTGGTACTTCTGCAGAGCTTCTATAAGCGTCTTATTTAGAGGCGTCCATGTATAAGGAGTTTTCGGTTTTCCAAAAATGATACAATCAATTTCTTATTACATTAAACATTAATCAATTCACATGGAGTAAACTTTATAGCAGTTAGTACTTTAAAGTACTTGCTAATTAATTACAAGATCATGCTGTAAGCTTTGCTTGCAAACAATCTTGAAACTTGGTGAGTCCAAAATACTTTTCTAAGAATAAATTCGTTCCAATTCGTTGAAAGCGTCTGGTAATAAATGCGAACGGTCCAGTTAAATTTGCGACTGCAGCCAGCAAGTTACGTACTACCTAACCTATGAATTAGAATTTTGGCCATCCTCCAGAAACTTAGAACTGCTTATTTGGAAGGCATTTAGTAATAATAGCATTCCACTTTAACTCTTACACGTTCTTTATGTAAATAGAAATGGCACTTATTTTACGTACTTTTCTATATTGACTTTATTTTTGCTTTTCAATAATTATTTTAAAATTTAGTAAGTTTAGAAAATAAACCCAGTATTATGAAGTGACATCTAACGGCAGATAATGAGAACTGTCATGTTTTAGTTGTAGAGCGCCGTCTACTGGTGTGTCTTTGAACTGTTAGCAAACTAGTCTACAAACGAGCGCTGCTCTCGAGGCACCTTCTTTACCCAGCGCTTTTAAGGATATATGACAGATGGCGCTGTATTAAATTTTGTATGAAATTATTTTGTCATCATGTCGCAGTATCGCTACAATAGTTTTATTTTTGATTTTACAAAGGTGCCAATTTTACAAAATGAACAATTTTTTTCTTTGTAGATTCAGATCGTCTACTGAAGCTGAGCTTTGGGAAGGCTTTCGAATCCTTAGGTCCTGAAGTGAGCGCTACAAGTAAGTCTATTTATGTTATAGTTACTTTTTATTGTTTGAATTTTTTCTCAATGGTAATGATGGAATACAATGTATGTAATTGTTAATTTACTATTTAAGTGTGAAAATGTGAAACTTCGTACGAGTATCAACTACATCAGGCATACACAAATTGAAGAACTAACTATGAATAAAAACTAAGAAGCAGGAAGCTCAACGTTCGCAGGTTTAGTTTGGAATTGACAAAGAGAATTATGAATTACGTAAGAGCTCAACGCTATAGGGCTAGGTACGGCTCGACTATGTTTAATTCAGAGAAAGTATAATGGCATAATGAGATGACTAAAAATTCATAAACGAAGGACCTTAGAGCTTTAGTTGATTAAGGCTCAAGGCGAAATTGCTAACGTATTGTACGTTATTACTTCACAGAACGAAAATTATGAACGTAGTAGTTACCAAGTTATTTAGACATTTTGCTTCCTCTTTTCTGTCGATGTGGAATTCTTTACTTGATCATCTGTTCCCTGACAATATAGATAACTTGGGTCTTTATATACTTTTAAACTCTCGCGTTGCATTGTACTTACTAACATTTGAAAACGTGAATAAATGCGTTTACATACGAATGGGTATTTTTCACACCTAACTAGTTTCCTAACGTTTCGGCCAGGTTGCACTGGCCGTGGTCACGGGCTGACTAACTGAGATGAGATGACTGGCAATATAATTTTAAAAATATATAAAACAGTCACAGTCACAGTCACACCGCAACGTACAACGTGTTGTAGGAGTCAGTCAGAGGGCTGTCTGAGATGACGGGTGGCGTCTCTGTTAACACGGTTCTAGCAGAATACCGGCGTCGTCGCCGGAAACTGTGCCGCAGTTTTATGCTGAACCAGCGCCTTTTCACTGCCATGACTTCCAAAACTATTTGTTTAATTAGTTACAGGTGTAGTTATGCGTTCTTTTTGTTATAAAAACTTGTTATTTTTAAGTGATTCAATATAATAATAATTATGGTGTTAGTTTTAGTGGATCCTATATAAGCTGTCATAGAAGTGAATAAGTTTTTATCTATCTCGTGTTTTTTTATATAAAAAATTAGTGCTGGAAAACGGTAGTGTGTGGGTTTCTCCTGATTTTATATACCGTTGTCGCTTTGGGTGATAGTAATGGAAATATACTGTGGTCATAGCATATAGCCATGAGTGAGCAGACAGAGAACCCATGCCTCACATGTAAGAGATCCCAATTGTTCTCCCAGCGGAGGCCAGTCCCACTGAGATTCTTTTAGTCGCGTGCAATTTAATTAAAATATCAGAATTATGTCGTGTTTCATAAAGCTCTTCGCAAAGATATGAAATCAACCAGGCCAGTTAGTCAATGAATCGGACCTCTACTTTAAAGTTCAATCGAAGAATAGTATGACACTGGAAATTTTACCATTTTTCCAGATCTCAAATAACTCTTTGGTCCATTGGTTTGTTTGGAAACACAAATATAGGTTGTTTTTTTTTTCAAAAAACCAACTACAGAAGACCTTGTTGCATGACACTTTGTCGTTCCCTTCACAGTAAACGCGAGGTTCAGCTTTCAGTCGAAACTTTTTTTTATAACATCAAGTGACGGGACGAACAAGTCGTGCGCCTGATGGTAAGTTACGCGCCTGCCCATAACAGTTACAGTGCCACTCAGAGCTTTAAATCGCAAAGATCTGAGGGGCACTACCACAGTGCCCGTTGCCCTGAGGCATGTTGACAAGTCCCATATGCCTGTAATTTTACCAGCACTCCCTTCAAAACCGGAACACAGTAATGCTGACATTATTCCTTGGCGGCAGATATAGGTAATAGGTGGCAGTACTATCCTGGACCAACTCTTTCACAAGGAGCTCTACTGCTACGAAAACTGTACATAACATGAAGGGCTCACGTTTTACGTTTTACTCATAACTAAGGGATCAAACCTTAATTTCACTTCCAAGCAACAGTTGAAACTTTACTTGAGTTTAGCTGAAAGAGTTTTCCTCAGATGCAGAAGCGGACAATATATTCTGAAGGGTCATTAAATTGTCGCCCTTAAGTGGAAATGGGCCAATAAAATGGATCTCGGCTGACCTCGGTTCGAGTCGGCAAATCCATTATGGACTACGTTCGTTAATTGGTTTTCCTATCAAAATCTTGCCCAGTTAATTTAATTAATTCACATCTGCTGAACCAAAAATGTCGTGTGTCGTGGTACCGAAACATTTATTTTTTTACATATATTTTTTACATTTATTTATTTTAACATTTGCTATGTTTTCAGATTGGTTAATTTTAATGACATTACCGAAAAAATCATCTTTTTATCATATAGATGGCATAGACTGTAATACTTGTTTGCCCAGGATGCGGAAGTGCGAAATAAAAAGGTATGTCGTGCGGGAATGCTCCTTTCGTGCACTTGGGAGTAACATGATTACGGTTCGATACGAAATTCCAATGTTGAACATTTCCAAATCTAATTTTTTATTAAATTTTCAAATTGTGTTTTGCTCAAATCCACAATTTTGAGTTACGACACTATATAGTAGTATAGACACTAATAGCATTGCATACCTTTGTAATTATTAATTTGTGATGTTCCATAACATACAGAGTTAAGGAATATTATTTAAAAAAAATGCTGGATGTACTTTACTATACTGTATACTGTACTGTACTATAATAATACTGTACTGTACTAAACTGTACTGTACTGTACTGTACTGTACTGCACTGTACTATACTATATTATATTTAATTATATATTATTATATAATTAATGATACGACATTTTTTTACGTACACTCTCATAACTCTAGCTCTAGGAAAATCCTGTATTGCGGGTGCTATGGAAACACAAATAGATCACAAACTACGCCCAAACTCACGAGAGAAATAAATATAGGTCATTTTTTTTTCTCGGCCCCAGAATCGAACCCGGGACCTCTGCGTGGCAGACAAGCATGGTAACCGTTCGGCCACGGAGACAGTTCTACATTGTCTCACGCAATATCACAAATTACTATTTAAACAGAAACTTCCATTCTAAATTAATTTTAGTGCCAAGTTTTGATTAAACCAAATGCTAAATACAAACCCGTTGATAAATGAACCAGGGAAATCTGAAAGCGTTGAATCCAAATCCCCAATTGACCACATAATAAATTATTCGTAGCTCTACGTCCAAAACGTCACTACTAAATGCATCTCCGAGTAGTACAGCGAATAAAACATACTGCTCTTAAATAAATAATCAAACGACTTGCAGCCTCCGCCATTTGTAAACTCTGCAGTTTCTTTTACCTTATTACCTTAGGAATAATGACTATTTAAAATGTAGACGCTTTATTTGATGGTTTTCTTATATTTTTCTTGCCAATTTAATCAAATCACCAAGTTCGTCATTAGCATAATCATAACTTTTTTATATAAAAAAATTCGTCGTCAAAAGTTAGTGAAATGTTCTTGCTAAGTTATATTGGAATCAACTTTCGGAAAGTGGATGAAAACCAATAAACCGGATTTTTAACTAATAATAATTCGCCTCCCTTAGAGGTGGAATATTTTCATCAAATTTTAACTTAACCACTTCTGAGCTACAACTCTTTCCAACAAAAAAAAAGATCGAAATTGGTTCACAATTGTCGGAGTAATCGCATAGCATTCACACAATACAGTCTAATTAAGAATCCCCTCTTTTTTGGACGTTTGCAACCCAATAAAAATTAAAGTAAATTAATCTGCTACTCCGCCAACCCAGTGAAGGTTAAATCGCGCAAAATAGTTGCGCTTGTGTTGAATATTTTTTAGTGCAGTTAACTATAAATAAAATTAATAAAATAAATAAAACAAGCGCAACTACAGTCACAAACCACTACCAAAAACATGCCCGACACGTGTTTCACCTCTCCACGAGGCATGCTCAGGGGCTGTTGACTGCTCGACACTCGGCCGAAGAGTTCTTCGGAGAGACACAAGCGCAGCTATTTTACACGATTTAACCTTCACTGGGTTCGCGGAGTAGCAAATTAATTTACTTCCATTTTTATTAACGTGGACTTCCGCAAATTAACGCCTGAATCTATTAATTAGTTTGCAATCCATTTATGCGTCCCGACGCTGGGTACGGGTATCATCTCATGTTCAAGCTATAATCCGCCGCCCTGGCCAAACGCGGTTTGGAGAACACACTTTTTCCGAGAGTTGTGAACCTTCTTCGACGTGCAGGCTTCATCACTATGTTTTCCTTCACTGAAAAGCTCATGGTACATTTCAAGTTAAATTTTGCACATAAATTCCGAGAAACTCAGAGATGCGCGCCCGGATTCGGAACGACCTCTACTTGAGAGGCAATGTCAAACCATTAGACTACCACGTCTCATTTTTTCAAGTCGGTTAAAATGGACGTACGCATTCGTACAGCAATTTAAATCCCGAAATAAACAGTCGAATTAAGCTGTACCTTATTACTCCTTGTCATGACGAGGGTACCATTATTTCTAACTAAAATCCACAAAGTGACTACCAAGAGCGTGGTGATTACGGCAAAGGCTTTATTTTGCAAATGTCACGCATAAATTATCATAGATCATTCTGAAACAAAATTGTGGTGCAAAACTAGTTTCATTTCTGACCTAGAATTTTCAGACCTATCTCTATCTCTATATAGGCGTTAGAAACTGTAACCCGAGCCTGAATATTTTACAGCGCGCTAGAGGTCGAAGTCTAACTTGTTTCATCTCTCGGACTGTCTTTTTAAAGTGCCAAGGTTCTAGATTTCCCTAAAGCTCGCGAAAGTGAATGCCTGAAATTAAATTGAGCCAGTGCTTGCAATATGTAAATAATCGTGAAGTTGAATTAATAAGAAGTCGTGAGGTCTAAGGAGACGGAACATTTTGATTTCGATTTTTGATAATAGTTATGTATGTCATGGATATAATATAAATAATTATATTGCTATATAATATTTAGATCTCAACAGAAATGTAGTAA